TCATCCATCATCCACCCACCCACCCATCCACACACCCACCCATCCATCCTTCATTCATCCATCTACTCATTCATCATCCATCATCCACCCACCCATCCATAATCCACCCACCCATCCATCCGTCATTCATCCATCTACTCATCCATCATCCATCATCCACCCACCCACCCATCCATAATCCATCCATCCATCCGTCATCCATGCATCCACCCATCCATCCGTCTGTCCGTCCACAGCTGGGCCCTGTGGTTGGCATTGGGAAGGCTCTGCAGGTGGTGGCTAGGAGCACAGGCTAGGGGCCCGAGTTACTCTGTGATCTTAGGAGAATTATCACATTTTCTACCTCTCTGGAAGGGGAATAGCAATAGTTCCAACCTTGTGAGGTTGTTGTGAGGACTACATGCATTGACGTCTATAAAATAGCTACCGTGGTGTCTGGCGTGCAGTAGGCACTCGATCGTTATCAGCTGTTGTTTTCTCTGGGGACCCGTCTTGTTCTACCCTTCTCTGGTTCTGAAAGGTTGTTATGGACAGGCTCACGTACTGCGAAGGTAGAGGGCATCAGAGGTGTGGGCTGGAGGCCCCTCTACCTCCCCTGGGGCCCTGGGGGAAGCAAGCAGAAATGTGGGTTCCTGTGGAAATTTCTGACTTCTGAGCCCCCCCGAGGAGAGCGGCACCATTGACAGTAACGGCTTTTCTCTGTTAACTTTAGGGGCTTCCGGTGACTGATTCCTCTCTAGCTGGCGCCTGGGAAATGGCAGCCGCTGCTGCTGCAGCCTTGAAGACAGCCACTTGCCTGCTCAGCTTACTCAGAAGATAGGATTCAAGAGGTAAGATTGAAGTCACTGATGTGCGCCTATCCATCTAGTCGTCCACTCAACCAAACACTCATCTGTGCACCTACCCACACACTCGTCTATCTCTTTATCCGCCCACTCACCCATCCACCAGCCTATTCGACTTCTCATTCATCCATTGTCCATCCAATGTTTCCACACATCTCCCCATTCATCTGCCATCTATCTACCTATCCACCCACCTACCCATCTTTCCATCCACGTATTCACCCATCTCCCAACCATTCACTCGCCTCCCTTAGCCATTCATCCACTCACCCAACCACCCATCCATCCTTCCCTGCAGCCATTCATCCATCTGTCTATTCATCTACCTGCCCACCCATCCATCCATCTCTTCATCCATCCCTCTATTCAGCTGCTTATTCCCTCATCCTTTTGTCTGGTCAGTGAGCATTTCCTGGGTGCCTTCTCTGTGCCAGGCTGCACCGGCCTTTCTGGGCCTCTGAGGTGGGCCAGAGATGGGGCCTGGGCAAGACCAACTCTCACACAAGGGTGAAAGCGGCTTCTGGCCCTAACAGGAGAAGCCTAGGGCCAGAGAATCCTAAAGGGCTTCATGGAAGTGGTGGCCTTCAGCTGATCCCTGACGGATGGGAGGATTTTAAATATTCCCTTTAGCTGTGATTTGGGGGTTGGACCCCATAGGGTAGTAGGTTGCCACAGCAAAACCTATCAGGAGCCTGTTGCTGTGTTCAGACAGGCGTGGGCTGGACAGGAGGGTGGCTGTGAGCTAGGGGATGGTAGACAGCTTTGAGAATTCAGGAAGTAAAATACACAGGACCTGGTGAGGGGGTGGATATGGGACTGAAGGAGAGGAGACCAGGCTTCTGGCTGGGGCAACTGGGAAAGTGGTCAGGCTGCCGAGGGACCTCATGAATATGAGCAGCGGGAGGGGAGAAGGCGGATGATGGGGAAGAGAAGGAGGGGGAGGGGGCGAGGAGGGAAGGGGGGGGGGGGGGGGGGGGGGGGGGGGGGGGGGAGGAGGAGGATGGGGGAGGAGGAAGGGAAAGGGAAGGGAGGGAGAAGTCAGGGAGGGGGGAGGGAACATCGAGGAGGAGGGAGGCTCAGGTTCCTTTGCCGTGGCCCCCCCCCCCCCCGTCAGGCCTGTGAGGAGCCCGGAGACAAGGTCCCCTGCAGGCAGCTTAGTGGGAGGGGGTTCAGGAAGTACCTGAGGAAAGTGAGGAGATGCTTGCAGGACGGGGAGGAGCCGGTGTGGGGTGTGTTGTCCACGGAGTCAGTGTTGGGGTGACCGGAGCTCAGTGGAGCTGAGGCGGCTGGGGCGGCAGCATAGCGTAGAAAAACCGAGTGTGCCTGCCGGGGAGCGGGCCGCTGCCCGTCAGTCTCCGCCAAAGGCTGCTCCTGGGGCCGTAGTCCCCGAGCCCGCCTGGTACACAGGCTGAGCGCCAGGGGCCAGAGAGAGCTTTCAGGCAACAAGCCTGTGTTGGCGGTTGGCAGTTGGGCAGGCGGGCCCTGAGGTGGTGAGGGCGGGGGCAGGTGGAGTGCTGGCACCCCATCCCCAGCACATACCGGAGTATTGCTGCTCTTTCTCTCCTCCAGCCAGCAGGGCTTGGCACAGAAAGCCTGCACTGTGTTGACCCCGAATGTTTGCAGGCCATGGGTGTGCACTGTGGGCAGAGGCTGTCTGTGCTTGGACGGGGGTCTGGAAAGGTGGGCCAGCCGAGAGACCGATGTCTTCTCCCCAGACTGTGAGAAGGAAGTGGTCCCCCTCTCAACCCTCCGTCTTCCCTCCACGCTGACTTGTGGCTCTCCCTGAGCCCGCCTCAGCCTCCTCCCTGGCCCCCGACGTGCCATCCTTGCTCTGCCGTGCCCCCACCAGGAGTGCCCCTCCCCTGCTTCTGTGTTCCCAGCCCTCGTGCCTGTCACCACTGAGCTGCCCTGCCCGCTGTGGTGCCCCCTCCAGGCCTGGTTCTGCCTCTCACTTCCTGTGTGACTGAGCAAGGGAGGGTCTGCAAATTAAGGATTGGATTTTTCAAGCTTGTGCTAAGTCTGACAGATAGTGACTGGATTAGGAAAGATTCTGATGCCGTCCCAGGACGCAGTGAGAAGTTCTGTGATGGACTAGTAATGTCTGCCACGGGCATGGGCTGGAGAATGAGGTGCATGCAGGCCACACCTGGGCTTTCCCTGAACCAAGTGATCTCTAAGGATTCATCCAACTGTAGGACTCGATCATGAGGTGGTGAGCGCCCTCTCCCTGACTTTCCAAGCGAGGAGTGCATGGCTGTGGTCAGGGGTGCTGCTGCGGGTCTCACCTCTGCTTCTGAGCGCTGAGACGTGGGGCTGTTTTTAGGTCTCATCACCAAATGGGACTGCAAGGCCTTTGGGGCGGAGACTGGAGGACAGTGGCTGCCCGCAGTCTGGCCTTGGGGCCTGGGGGACATGCGGGGGTTGATTTTACTCCCATGCCCAGACTGGGAGCTCACTCCTTAAAGGCTGTGTGACCCTGCTCGAGTGACCGTCCTTCTGAGCTTCAGTTTCTTCATGTGGAAAATGGGGAGAATAGTCATATGCCCTTGTGGGGATTAAGTGAGTTAATTAGAGCCCTTAGAACAGGGCCCGGGGCAGGGAGGATCTGCTAGACAAATACTGATTACTATGCTCAGACCCCTGAAGGGGTCCCGGAGCCCCTCCTCCTCTGGGGCCCTGTGTCTGTGTCTCCTCCACTGGCCCTTCTAGTCTGTGTTTTTTTGGCATCTGAGAATGTGGGCCCAGGCCTCGCCCTGGTCTCCTCCCGGATGTCACCGAAACCTGAGGTGCCCAGAGCCTCGGGACTGGCCATGGGGCGTCCTCTGCATCCGGAGGCCCCTCCCGGTGATTCTGGGGCCCCACCCTCCGGTCATGCGGTAGCTCCTCTCTGAAAGCTCCCAGCCCAGGCCTGGCCAGCGTGGCTGTGTCTGCGGGCTGTGGCCCGCAGGGCTCAGGACAGCTTCGGCCTCTTGGGCCCTGGGCCTGCGCTCTCCACCTCCTGTTTGCTTCGCTCCCCGTTTCCTGTGTTGACGTCACCTTGTCCAGCTCAGGTAGTATACCCCAGTGCCTCTCCCCAGCGATGCCCGGGACCCCCATTGGACAGTGGAGGGTCCACCGCCGATGGTCCTAACTGTTGTCTTTACCATCGCATCCCGGCCCACGAGTCACTTTGTGAGCTGGGACATCTCGACCTCAGTCCTCCCATCTATAAAATGGGGAGCTGGCTTTCCTGCTTGCTAAATCCTCTTCCAGCAAAACAAGTTCTCTGATTCCATTTCCTACCTGATCGCACTGTATGCACCCACTGAGCAGAGCCAGACAGGCCTGCATGTCCTGGCTGAGGATACTGCCCCACGTTTCTCAAGTCGAGCCCTTAAAGACTGCAGAGCTGTGTGACATTCTTGCTATGTTTGTGTGCATGGAGTGTCCTTGGATGTTTGGCAAGTTTGTGGTACTGGGGTTTCTACGTATGGGTCCTCTTCGGGGTCTGTCTTGGTGGTACTGTATTCACCAAGAGCCTGTGCGGGCCTCCCCACACCCCGAGTGTCACACACACATGCATGCACACACCCAGCAGTATGGGGCGTGAGAGGTGGAGGACTGGACCGGCTCTCGGGGCTCCAGCTCCATCTCTGTTTCTTAGTTTCTGGGTGACTTTGGACGAGTGACTTTGCTCCGAGTCTCAGTTTTCAGCTCTGAGAAATGGGGAGCGGGGCGTGAATGTGACCTTGTTGATTTTCTCTGTGTGGTTTTAGAAGGAACGTCAGCGGAAGAAGGTGTCCCCAGGCTTGTGTGATGTGGTCTGGGTGGGTCCCGGGTGCCCGGCCCAGGCGGAGAAGCCAGGAATCCCACCTGCGGGGGGCCGTCCCTGTGGCGCCCCCACCTGCCTGGGGACTGAGCCCAGGTGGGCTCTCTGGCTTTTGGCTGTGGTGGTTCTGTCCCGTGCAGGCCTCGAGCTGCTCGCAGCCCCAGCTGGAGCAGCCATGACCCGCTGGACGTCCCCTCATACAAATCTGCGCCCCGCCATCCGACGGCCTCCCCCCAGCATCTGAGTACCCCGACCCTGGCCACCCCCTGGAGGGCCCAGGAGTCTGGGGCTGAGCCGTCTCCCCAGCACAGTCCTGGCTCCCCACCCCTGGCTCCCTGCCTCCCGGCCAGGCAGAAGCAGCATCCTCAGTGGCCTCAGCCTCAGCTCCTCAGACCCATGTGAGGCGGTCAGCTGGAGCTGTGGGGGAGGACAGCAGCATGAGGAGAGGCCCCCGCAGAGACCGGGGTCCCGTGGTGGGAGACCCCGCATGAGACAAAAGGGATTCAAGTCTGAGCTCTCCTGCGTATTGGCTGTGTGGCTTTGGGGAGGTCACTTGATCTCTGTGAACTTCCACTCAGAGAGCGGAAGTGACAATAGTAGCTCGCCCTTGCGCTGTCGAGAGGATGACCTGAGAGCGTTCGCGGATGTGTCTGGCCTGCTTGCCGTGTGGTCTGCGGAGCTGGTCACTCAGGCGGTAGGAGCCGTGAGCACCATGTACCTGCCGGCTCTGGGGAGCCAGCGGCACCTAGTGCCCGAGAAAGACCCAGGGAGGGGGTTGCAGCCTGGCTGGTCATGTGGGCTTCATCCTCACCTGTCTCCCAGGTGTTTGGAGCAGAGGTCGGAGGTCATGCCCCCTCTGAGGCTCTGGCTGCACCTGGTCACACAGAGCAGGGCTGAGTCCCAGCGTTGCCACCTCCTGGCTAGGTCACTTCCAGTTTCCAAGCCTCTAGTGGGCACCCAGCTGCCTGTGTCCCTGCTCCTGGCCCTGCCTCCCTGGGACCTTCTCCCCTGGGGCCTCATTGTCTTCTGGGCAGTCAAGGGCTCCCAGCCTTGTCTAGCTCTGACCTTGTAATGCCACCAGGTGGGGATTGGGGGTGTGTGGCGTTCCCTTTGGTGGGGAGGAGCATGCCCAACTCCTCAGTACCCTGGCCAGGCCAGCTGGCTGGGGGTCTTCCCTCCTTCCAGCCCAGCCCCACTGAGACAGGCTGAGGTCCTGAGCACCCGCAGCCCCGATGCTAATGGCCAGATGGCCTCAGTACCCACAGGGCCAGGCGGTGCCATGTTCCCCCTGCAGATGCCTCAGCTTGGCACCAACAGGCCGGCTCAGAGCCAGCGGAGCACTGGGAGGGCTGGCCACCAGCCTGCGTGTCTGGGGCTGGCCATGTGCCCATGGCCATCTATGAGAGCAGTGCTTGTCTGGCCATGGGTGTGTGCCGCGGGACGTGCCCCGGGACTGCCTCACGTGCGTAAGAGTGTGCGTGGCAGGCTGGCCAGGTGCTCCCCTCAGTGGGCTGATGACGGTGACACATCTGAGTGCTCCCCATGTGCTCTTGTTAGAGCTGGGGAGGGCAGGGGTTGGGGAGGCCCTGGGCTGAGGTCAGCCGGTCAGTGGCCCCTCGGGGCACCAACTCCCGGACCCCCTCCTGGCTGTTGGAGATGGGGAGGTAGAGGTCGTGGCACATGGGCGCTGAGTGGGCGCCTGGGGTGGAGTGTGTGAGCGTCAGGAGGGTGGGGGGGCCCAGGTGGGGTGTCCACGAGGCCAGGCCTTGTCCTAGGCCCTGGGGATGAATGAGACAGCGGTGGACAAGGCAGCGCATTCCCCCTTGGGGAGCCAGCGGTCTCACCGGGTGGGAGGACGGTCGGGTATGGATGCACAGTGGGGGATGACTACAGACCGTGGGCGTCATTGCTGTTATTATTACTGCCGTTATAGGTCAGAGGTCGGTGCTGGGGGTACAGTGGGGACCTGGGTGGGGTGTCCAGTCTTCTGAGGGCTCGTGTGGTGTTGTAGCCAAGGCCTGAAGGAGGTGAGGCGGGGGAGGACGCCTGGGAGGAGCAGCGGGGGCTGGGGGCTGCAGCAGGTGAGCGGGAGAGGCTGGAAGGTGAGATCCCTGGGGCCCTTGGCTCTGCTCTTGCAGGCCCCGGGGGTGCCAGCAGGGAGTCTACTTTGAGCGGAGGACAAGACCAGCTCCCCCTGGCTGCCGCGGCCTGGGTGGGGCCGGGGCAGGGAGGTGGCGAGGTGGCCGCCCTGCTGGTCCAGGTGGGTGATGACAGGCACTCAGGCGGTGAGGGTGGGGGAAGGGGGTGGGTCCTACATATATTTTGAAAGCAGAGCCCTGGGGTGGGAGTAAGAGGAGTTGAGGATGAATCCAGGGTTTTGGCCAGAGTTCCGGGACGATGGAGAGCTCGTGGGAGGACGGAGAGCTCAGGGAGGACGGAGAGCTCATGGGAGGACGGAGAGCTCAGGGAGGACGGAGAGCTCGTGGGAGGACAGAGAGCGCAGGGAGGACGGAGAACGCAGGGAGGGCGGAGAGCTCATGAGAGGACAGAGCGCAGGGAGGACAGAGCTTGTGGGAGGACGGAGAGTGCAGGGAGGACGAAGAGTGCAGGGAGGACGGAGAGCTCGTAGGAGGGTGGAGAGCTCTGGGGGGACGGAGAACTCTGGGAGGATGGAGAGCACAGGGAGGATGGAGAGCTCGTGGGAGGACGGAGAGCGCAGGGAGGACGGAGAGCTCGTGGGAGGACGGAGAGCTCGTGGGAGGACGGAGAGCTCCGGGAGGACGGAGAGCTCCAGGAGGCGGAGTGGCGGTTTTCCAAGCTGAGAAGGAGGGCGGGGAGCTGGCTTAGGGTGGGAGGGGAGATCAGGAGTCCGTTTTGGGTAAGTTAGGATTGAAAGGTCTGCCAGGCACGCCCGAGGACCCTGGGTGGGGGCAGAGGCGTGGGCTGGTGTGGCCCGCCCCCCAGCCCTGCTGTCCCCTCTGTTGCAGGTGCTGACTCCCCCGAGACAGGCTGGGGGCGAGCCGCGGTCCCCCCGCTCCCGGGATGACCGCGGCCGGCCGGGCCAACCCCTACAGCATCGTGTCGTCGGAGGAGGACGGGCTGCGCCTGGTCACCATGTCGGGCGCCAACGGCTTTGGCAACGGCAAGGTGCACACGCGGCGCCGGTGCCGGAACCGCTTCGTGAAGAAGAATGGCCAGTGCAATATCGAGTTTGCCAACATGGACGAGAAGTCACAGCGCTACCTGGCCGACATGTTCACCACCTGTGTGGACATCCGCTGGCGCTACATGCTGCTCCTCTTCTCGCTGGCCTTCCTTGCCTCCTGGCTGCTCTTCGGCATCATCTTCTGGGTCATCGCTGTGGCCCACGGCGACCTGGAGCCGGCGGAGGGCCGTGGCCGCACGCCCTGCGTGATGCAGGTGCACGGCTTCATGGCCGCCTTCCTCTTCTCCATCGAGACGCAGACCACCATCGGCTATGGGCTGCGCTGCGTGACGGAGGAGTGCCCGGTGGCCGTCTTCATGGTGGTGGCGCAGTCCATCGTGGGCTGCATCATCGACTCCTTCATGATCGGCGCCATCATGGCCAAGATGGCACGGCCCAAGAAGCGGGCGCAGACTCTGCTGTTCAGCCACAACGCCGTGGTGGCACTGCGCGACGGCAAGCTCTGCCTCATGTGGCGTGTGGGCAACCTGCGTAAGAGCCACATCGTGGAGGCCCACGTGCGCGCCCAGCTTATCAAGCCGAGGGTCACAGAGGAGGGCGAGTACATCCCGCTGGACCAGATTGACATCGACGTCGGCTTTGACAAGGGCCTCGACCGCATCTTCCTGGTGTCGCCCATCACCATCCTGCACGAGATCGACGAGGCCAGCCCGCTGTTTGGCATCAGCCGGCAGGACCTGGAGACGGACGACTTCGAGATCGTGGTCATCCTGGAGGGCATGGTGGAGGCCACGGCCATGACCACGCAGGCCCGAAGCTCCTACCTGGCCAACGAGATTCTGTGGGGCCACCGCTTCGAGCCCGTCCTCTTCGAGGAGAAGAACCAGTACAAGATCGACTACTCGCACTTCCACAAGACCTATGAGGTGCCCTCCACGCCCCGCTGCAGCGCCAAGGACCTGGTGGAGAACAAGTTCCTGCTGCCCAGCACCAACTCCTTCTGCTACGAGAACGAGCTGGCCTTCCTGAGCCGGGACGAGGAGGACGAGGCGGACGGGGACCAGGGCGGGCCCAGCCCCCAGGCTAGGCACGACTTTGACAGACCCCAGGCCGGCGTCAGTGGCGCCCTTGAGCAGCGGCCCTATAGACGGGAGTCGGAGATCTGAGCCGCCTTTGGCCACGGTGCAGCATCCGCCCCGCCAGGGAGAGGCCTGGTGCCGTGAGGGCTCTAGGCCGGCGCAGAACGGGCCAGGCGCCCTGGTTGCAGACTCAGTAGTGCTCTAGATGTTTTACGTTTCTTCACAATGGCCTCGAAAGGTTGGCGGGAGTGGGTGGCCTGGGCGGTCGGCCCACAGCCTCAGAGGCCTGAGCAGGTGCAGGGGCAAGGCGGTGGCCTCCTGGGGGCCGGGCCACAGGTGCCGGGCGCCTCTGCCTGGGGATCGAGCTGCCACCCCCCCGGGAACAGCACGACAGCCGCCAGCCTCTGTGGGCAAGGCTGGCGGGCTTCAGGGCACCTTGCTGGTTTTAAACTTGGGGAGAAACATTGGGTTTTGACTTTCTCAACCTTAGCTTGAGTGAGGCTGTTTACAAAGAAAAAAAACTAATGTGATTGAAAAAATTTTTTAATTCATGGGGGTAAAAAAAGGACAGTTAGAATTCCATTGGTCTGCCGGGAGGCAAGCACCTAGATGGAGGCTCCAGAAGGTTCTCGGAAGCGGGATGGGCCTGTTCTCCACAAAGGCAGGGGTGAGCTGGTGGCGCAGCCCGCAGGGCAAGCACGGCGCTCAGCAGTGGTTCTTGTGCTCACGGCGGATTAGACTCCGTCTGTGATCGTAAAACCAAGACCATGTTAATGATGGAAATGAAAGCTTTCCGGTGCCGTAGATGTGGCAGGGTCAGGAAGAAACTGGTTTGAGCTTTTGAGTTTGACTTTGTACCTTAGAGGTGCCTCTCAGGACCGGATGTGGGACCTGCCTGCCGGGGAGGGTCCGCCCTCCCCACCCACCAGGGTCTCCTGCTTTGCTCCTCTCTCCTTCTCTGCCCCGTGGCCTCTACCCCTTCCACAGTGAGGGCAGCTGGGAAGTGTAGGGGTGGATGGCTCCGTGGGAGGGGAAGCTGGGTTCCCAGACGAGAAGGAAGAAGGTCAGCCCCTCCCCACGGGCCCGGGCGCGAGTGGTGCCTTAGAGACCCCAGGGGTCAGGTTCCAGTTGTTTCTGTCTTTATTGGACTCGCCCATCCTCCCCACCGCCCCCAACTCCACCGTGAAGTTCCTGTGCCCCTCTGTCTGCAGACGCCAGGCCGGCCGGCACTTCTACTGCACCTGGGGCGGCACAGGGGAGCCGGGCAGGTGCAGAGAACCATCCTAGGAGAGGCGTGGGATTGTCAGTGAGGTGCTGGGAGGGACATGCGTGCAGGCACCCTAGTCAGGAAGAGTTCGGGGCTGCCCAGCGTGACCTTGTTCTTGGCAGAGGAGATAGCTGGCGAGGATGGACCCTGGGATGGAGCTGGGGCCCCTCCCAGGACAGCTAAGAGTGTTGTCTTCCCAGTGACCAGGGCTGTCAGGAAGCCAGTGATTAGAGAGCCCATGTCTGCCCTGCCTGCCTGCCCAGGCTGGGCCACCCCGTACGCCTGAGAGAGCTCCCAGCCAGAAGGTGCTAGGTACTCTGGCTCAAGTGGGGAAACTGAGGCAGAGGGCAAGGTCACTCAGCGAGTGGGTGGGGCTCAGGAGGCAGAGGGGGGCCCAAGGCCAGGGCTGGGGGCTCCTGCCTCTTCCCTCTTGCTCCAGCCCTCACGGCAACTGGAGACCTGGCCGTGAGGTCGGGGGCCAGGGAGGGTCTGAGCACAGCTATCAATCCCCACCCAGAGACACCCTGCCTCCCGCAGCACCCTGCCCTAGCCTCAGACCACACCCTCGTTTCTGGCCCAGCAGCTTCAGCCCAAGGCAGGTGGAGGAGGCAGCGGTTTGCTCTCAGGATCCGCTGGAGGCAGCTGCCTGGGGGCTGGGGGTGGGTCCGTGTGGAGCACGTGCCCACCATCCCTGCTCAGAGTGTCAAGCTGACCCAGGGAGGGAGGATGGGGCCAGCATGAGGACCCACGCTTCGCTCTGCCCAGCAGCCAGGGATCCTTCAGGGCTGGGTGGGCCAGCCTTCCACTCACCCATGCAGAGCAGAGCCCTGAGGCCCTGGACCCCCCAGGCCCTGGTGCACCCACACTCAGGTCTGTCCCCTTCCCAGGCCCACACCAGGTTCAGCCCCCAGACCCCGTGGGGAGCAGCCCTGAGCTGCCTTTTCTCTCTCACCAAAGGCAGATGCTGCCTTCTCAAACTCTTCTGCCCTCTTTTGTCCTGCCTGGTATTTATTTATTTATTTATTTATTGCTTGTGCTGAAGACCAAAATCCTCTTCCTCATTAGTGCACTTGGGAGGGCGGATGGGAGAGCGAAGTGTGTGCAGAGCGAGGATCGCATGGTCCTTGGGGAGTGCGTGTGGAGGCGTGTGCCCGAGTGTGTGCCCGTGTGTGGAGTGAGTGTGTGGTATGACGTGTGCAGTGTGTGTGCCGAGCACAGGTGAGTGTGGACCACTCGTGCACATGGGCGTGCATGTGGCGTGAGGCAGGTGAGTGTGTGTGCACCTGTGCACGTGGCGGTGGTCTGTGTGCCAGGCAGGTGGCGTGTGACCTGCTCCTGCCCTCGCCCCCAGGCAATGGAATTTCCAAGTAGTGTCTCGACAGCCTGAAGCAGGAGGCACGGAGGTTGGAGTTGGCCAAGGACGAGGTGACTGGTGCCCTCCAGCCGGAGACACCGAGCTGCTCCTGTGGGAAAGGGGCCATGTGGCAGAAGTGTGAGCATGAGTGTGTGAGCACTAAGTGTGTGGAATCGCCATCTCTGTGTGAGTGAAATGTGTGCAGTTACGGCTTTACCTGTATGTGCACGTGCCTGTGGATTCATCATCCATGGGGGTGTGTACAGATGTGTGCACACGATGGTCTCTATATATGTGTGAGTCTGGGCTGATCGTATGTATATGTAATATGTACATGTGTGTTCACACACGCACAGTTACAGGTGTGTTTGTGTGTGTGTGGTATATGCGGGCATTGGTTTAAATGTTTACCAGGCTGTGAGGCTGGACACACACACTCAGGATAGACACCGGCTGTGGGCCTTGGCACAGCCGAACCCAGTAGTCCCACCGGCCCTCTGCCCTGGTCCCGTCCCTGTGGGCACGCATGGAGCCCGTGTGCCGGGACGGGGCTTCCACACGCCGTGAGGACACAGCGTCCAAGGTGAGTGCTTGCACACAGACTGCGTGTAGGAGGCCGCGCGCTCATGTGTGTGTGTGTCCCGTGAACACGGATGTCTCTGTGGTGCATTCGGGTGGCAGCCATGCCAGGCCCCGTGAGCAGGGCTGGTGTCTGCCTCCTGGGGCAGTGTGTGTGCGTGTGAGCGTGTGCTGTCTCAGGGTGTGTACATGGGATGTCAGTGGGGGTGGTGTGTCGTGTGCACACCCACGCGTGCCTTCCGGCCGCCCCTGTGCCCACTGGTGCTGTGGCGCCGTCCCTGCCCCAAAGCGTCCTGGCCGGGCGAGGGCGGGGGGCCTGGTGGGAAGGAGGCCCCTGCATAGGGGTGTCTGCCCTGCGTGAGGCCGTAGAATGTCAAATATATTTTAAATGGGGAACCTGGAGAATTTCCACGTTATTTTCAATACGTAGCGGTATCTACAGACATAGGCCATGAGACTAGATGACATTAAATGCATTTTGATCTCTTTGAGTGCCACCGTGTGCAGATGTGTGTTTGCAAGTCCCCGCCTGGCTCAGCAATCTCATGTTCCCTCGGCCGTCTGTCTTGGAGCACTGGGCTCCCCAGGGGCCTTCGGCGGGGGGGATGTGGCAGCAGCTTGGGGTGGGAACACAGCCTCCTCGCAGACCCTGGCACGCTCTTCCAGCCGGCACACACACCCTCGGTCTCCTGTGACTGCACATCCTCTCCTACAGGTGCCCGAGTGTGCCAGACCGCCCACCGGGACTGGCTGTCACACCTCCCTAGCCCTGTGACCTCGGGGCCACTGCCTTGTCCTCCCTGGGCCTACGCCTCCCTGCCTGTCCTTCCTTCTGCAAAGGCTTGCGGGGCTCCTCCTGTGCGGGCGTGTGAGTGCAGGAGGCTGGCGGCCCCTCCCGGGACTCTGGGCTGGCGGAGGCCTCCAGCAAGACGCAGCACTGGTTCCCACCGCTGTGCCGGGACAGGAAGCCGGGATGCGGGGGCAAAGACCCCTACTCCAGCCTGGCGGGGGCTAGGAATTGGAGAGGTGTCCTCCCCACTGAGGCTGGGGATGAGGGGGGACAGAGGGCGGACAGGGCTGTGGTGGGGGGAGCAGCAGTGCGGAAGGAGGGTGCGGACAGCCCATTTGGGGAAAGGGGGTCATCTGTCCGAAGGCTCGGACTCGGGGGTCTCAAGGGCCTTCTGGCAGAGGCCCACAGGGAGAGAATTCTTTCCTTTGCTGCAACTGTTTCCCTACGTGGAGAGTTCCTCTGCATCAGGGAAGGAGCTGGGGACCCGCACTCTGTGGGGTTCCAACGAGGACCCCAGATGCCAGTGCAAGAAGCCTGGGCACTGATGACGAGGCGGCAGGTCGGGGGGGCTTCCTGGCAGGTGTTCCCTTGGGTGGTACTTGGAGGGAGGACCCTGGAGGTGGTTGGCTTGATCTGGGGCAGCTCCCTTCCCCTGGCCCTCGAGCCCCCCCGGGACCTCAATACCAGAATCTAAGCCAACTGGGGCCAGAGGGCTGTGGCCTCCCCCACGCCCAGAGCGAGTCCCACCGCACAGAGAGGTGTGGCGGGCGCGCTGGTCAGTCCTTGTCGCTCGAACTTTTCAGTGCCAGAGCTCAGCAGTCTCTCGGTCTCCTGTCCTGGCTGTGACCCTGGGTCAGACCCCAGGCCACTTACTTGCTTGGTGACCTGTGTGCATTCCTTTTCCCCTCTCGCCCTAGTCTCTCCATCTGTAGAAAGAGGGTGTTCATAGCACTGGCCGGACAGGGTGAGAAGGCGAGAGAACCTTCACGAAGCGAATGCTTTGTACCTGTACTCGCCGCAAGTCTCGGAGCGGGGCTGGTGCACGTGGAGGGGTCGATGTGGCCGCTCAGGGTCGCAGCGGGGGACAGCCCAGGCCTGCCTCCAGGTCTGTGCGTGTCCGAGCTGCCACTTCCCCTGTGCTTTCCTGCCTCCCGGAGGATGGGACGTGCCCGGTGCAGAGTCTGCTGTAGACAGCGGAGCAGCGTGAGGAGGGCTTCTCTAAGGTGCAGGGTTTACCAGTTTTAGAGGAAATGGGGTCAGGGGCGTTAAGGGACTTGCAAGGTCACTGGGAGGGTAGTTGTCTGAGCTGGGATCCGGGCCAGACCTTGGCCCCCAAGCCCTCCTGCGGCCTTCCTATCCTATCGTTTGACCCGATGCCCACGCCCTCCCAGCCTGGGGGCCCGCCCTGGACTCATCCCTAGTTTGTCTTTCCCCAGATCCATCTCCTGCGTTGGAGGCCCCCATGACCTGGGAGGGAGTCATAATTGGGCTTCTCCTCAGTGTGGAGGGGCCAAGATCAGAGTGGGGCAGTGGGGGCCTCAAGGGACACACCCCATCCCACTACAGCCCACCCTCCACCAAGTACCAGAGTGGAATCAGGCCTTGCTGCCCCGCCACCGCCCTTCATCCTCTCCCTTCCACTCCTCCTGCCCTTTGGCTGCAGGCAC